TAGTATTATTCTTTTTAACCTTAATATGGTTCAATATTATTTTTGTTCTCTCTTTATTTGTTAAAAAGTTTATTGTTTATTTTTTATTGTTTTTTATATTAATTATATCATTATTCTAGAACTATTTTAATTATATCTTTTGTTTCTTTGACTTTTAATCTTTGATATATAAATATGAGACCTATTATTGTATTATGAATATTTTTTTCAAAGATATTTATTAAATATTAAAAATACTATATTGAATACAATGGTTTTTTATTAGATAATTTGAGCTATGAATAATATTATACTTTTTGATGGTCTTGTTAAGAATTTTTAACTTGTTTACTTCTTTGAATGTTTTTATTTTTTTAAGAAATATTCTTAATTAAAAAGTTCTTTTATATTTAAATCTTAAAATATTTTTTATAATTTATTTGTTTTATTTTCTTAATTGTTCTTACTGAACTTTTCTTGCAAAGTAAACTTTATTCTTATTTTAAACTTGTAATTTAAAAAACTTGTTATTGTTTTGAAGATAATTTTTTATACAGTATTTATTTTATTAATACTACTTTTTACAGAAAGCTTGATAATTATACTTTTTATAAAAAAGTCTTTATTATATAATGTTATAATTAATATTGTATGGCCACTTTCTGTAATTTCTTTCATATTCTAGTTATCAAACTCAAGTATTAAGTATCTGGCTAGACTATATAATAATCAAATTTAGTCAATTTTATTTCTGTTTATAGTATGTTACTTGATAATAAAGCTATATAAATTATTTTAGAAATTGAATTTTTTCTAACATAGTAATTGATTTTTTATTTGACTTTTCATTTTAAATTTAAACTTAAATTCAAATAAGTACATAACATATAAGATGTACATAAAATTAATTTGTATACTCTTTATTTATTAATCTTGATTTTTAAATTTATGAACAATTTTTATGCATAGAAATAATCATAAGAATATTTTATAAAAACGAGTTCAATAATTTTGTTTTATTTATTTATTTTAGATTATAAAAAATGATATTAATTTTTATAAAAAAAGGTAACAATTTTATATTAAACAATGAATAGAAATAAATAAGGTAAAAAATAGATTAAAATTTTTTATGTTGCAATTATTGTTGATTGTTGTTTTTGAATTTAAATAACAAAATAATAATAAGATGCTCATATACAGTAAATGATTTTATTCATCGGATTTTTTCCATGATACGTAATAACATAATTTATCATATTAAATATAGCATTTGGCAATATAAAATATACGCGTTACAATGAATGTTATTAAAAACTTGATTTGCAGATCGTTAATGCTTTGCGAAACGGTATTCCTATTGATTATTATTTGCCATTTTTATCGTTTGTTAACAAATTTCCTAATTTTCAGAACAATCTATGTTAAAAGAATAATAAAAACCAAACAAAGGGGGATTGTTTAACGTAAATATTATTAATGTCAAAAAAGGCTTGGTCTCTATATGGCAATATTAGAAGAAGGCGGCTAAAATCATTCGAGAGTCGAAAGTTCCTCGTGAGTTACATTTTCGAGAATTCATGCCATATTGTTATAAGAAATGCAAGAATTTATTCGATAGAGAATTGATTTGCTCGATAGGCTTCAGGTATCAAATTTTCGCGAGCCATCTCAACATATTGGGGAAGATCGGGCAGCCAAGATGAAGCCATGTGGAACGTCTCTACCTATATAATCGAACAGTGAGCATGAAAAAGATTATCAAAGAACCAACCGATCCGCATTCCTATCCAAAGTAAGATAAATAATATGTTGAGTGTGGCTCCTCGGAATTATTGTGTATTAAATATTTTTGATTGTGAACATGCATGCATATTTTGTTTGTTTCGGACAAGGAAGTGCTGGATGATAATATTATATCATACTGTATGTTAATATTGTCAACTTTTTCCTAACTACCGCCCTAATCTAATATCGAATGATCGGTTAAATAAAAGTGGAGTACAGTAAGTTTAAATTTTTCAATCAATAAATTAAATTTTTCTTTTATATCTCCTTCTTTTTTTTTTTTTTTTGCGAACAATTTTAATCAATTAATCAGTAATAATTACCTATACATAGTATCAATTGCTTTGTGTTACATACGTGGTTAGCGTAGATCGATGACAACAACCTTGTCGAAATTAAATTAAAATCCAATCATCGAAATTGTTTGTTTCTTAGGTAAGATTGCCATTATATGTAGATACAGGGACCCTATCATTAGGCCATTCTTGGATTATTCTAGTTCTATATTACACAAATGTTGTACGTATCGAACGAAGAATGCGTAGAATCAAGTACGTATAAGGATCAACTTGGAAGATTAGTACCGGAAGGCTGTGTGGCTTTATTTCGAAGATAAAAAAAAAAAAAAATACAGTATATACAGTATATATATTTCCGAAATGATGTTCCTAGCATAGATTTCAGAAGATACAGTATGTATTATTAAAACAAATCGACCGTTGCATTGTCCACCGAATTTTCAAGCTCACAAGAAGACTCCTTATTCCTTAATTTTCAATTTAATCATGATTTCTACTTTATCCGACAAGTCATTCAAGACATGATATCTGATGATATTGCTGCATAATCGAGAGGAATCACAATATGTTGTGTATTATTTCCGCTATTTCCGTGTAAATTATTTACTGAATAAACCCTCTGCGAGTCAATATCAATAAGCGGAGAAATAAGAACGAAGAGAAAATGAATAAAAAACGCTTTTATGTCGTTTTTAATAATCCCTAATAAAATCGCTGAATCAAAAGAACAGCTGATTGATTATCGTGTGTAGTCCTTGTTTCTTGAATGAAATAAGGTGCTCCGCTTATATGCGTCATGTATTTTTAGCGTGTAATGACCGGCCGGCCCTTACACCATTTTCTTTATCCGGTCAAAATTTTGGGGGGGAGAGTCTTATTAAGTAATATTGAAAAAGGAGGAGTTCCAGCGCGCCAAACTCTTCTAAATCAACGGATGAAGTTGAACGGGGAGCTATCCTTTTTGAGGAAGTGTTTTTGAAGTGAGGAATTTTAGAATCGAAAGCATAGTACGAATCCTGTTCGCGTCATCGACGTCCTTATCGCACGCGTACTACTGTAATATGAATAGCAAGCGAATTACAGTATAGCGCGATTTAAATTATCCTAGGTACCATTTAGCGAAAATAAAATAACAAATATGCGAGCGAATGATGTGAAATTACCTTTTTTTTTTTTTCTTATACTGTATAATTTAGCCAAACTTTAGACCGCTCTATGCGTTACAGAGTTATTCACCGAATATTATGCTGCACTAATTTTATTCGTGAAGAAAATTCGCGATTCAAGATCCAGCTGAGATAAGCAAACGTCTACTTGATATCCAACCACCATTATTGAAGATCCTAACAAATACGTGATGCCTAATACACAACGTAAACCAATCAATCTTAACTTGTACCGTAAATGTATTTTGATACTTATGTACCAAAGTTCATTAACAAAATTTGGTTCATTTGCTTTTGAAAGCATATACATGTACGTATATGTTTTATTATTTAATGCACGCATATTGGTTTTCACCAACTTGAATCAAGTCCAAATTCACAGCACAATAAGGCATAGATTGTAAAGTTGTATTAATATGGAAAGTAAAAAGTGCAATCTAAGTTTGTGCTGGGGTTAATTCATTGAGAGGTATGAAATAGTACGGCAATTGAAAAAAAGTCAAATATATACAGTATATTTATGTTTACCCTGCTCGTACAATTATACCGTAAATGGTAAAATATGATAAACAGGGCCAAGAAGTAATATAAAGCGTCTTCAGAGGACAACGAGTATAATAATTTGGTTCCTGCAAAATGGCCCTTCGTTAATTATATATATATATATATATTTACATATACACGATCATTATTATCCTATATTTGTATTTTCATAGTATCTTCTAATTTCGTGCGTGTCGTGTTTATTATAATTATCCAAGCTGTCGGTTTTCTAGACTTACTGTATAATAGGATTAGATTGGATTATTGAGACAGAGTTATTTCCCTCAAAGTAATGTATGCGTTAAATAATAACAATTCGTGGTAATAAGCAAAGGTGAATTTCGCACTGAACCTGATGCAATCTTTCGACAGCTTTATTTTTCAAATTTCATCTCCTCGCATATATTGTCGACCTTTTAAAGGGAGTGACCGTGAGACAAAGATACATCTGATATTGGTAACCGATTTCTTAATTTTTGACTGATTTCATCCCCTCAATATCGCAATTTCATATTTGAATTGTCTCTTTCATTCAAATACTTGGTCCTGCAACGAAGAAAATAGGCCTATTTATACGTACTTTAAAAGCGATGGGACAGATTTATTCAAAGAACAATGGTCAACTCCTCCTACCTAACGACCCTGCGAATAATAAGAAAAAACAGAAATCAATGAAATCTCAGCAAAATCTCTTTCGATATGTAGACGGTAGAAGATTTCACAACAATGTGAATTCAAAATATTTTTTGCCCAATGATGATGAAGAAGGTAGTCCTTCGTTTTCCTTTTACTTGCCATCTCGCGAATTCCACCACCTAAACTCCATGTACCTGTAGTTGATAGACTACAATTGCAACACTTTTTGTTCCGAGATATCTGGCGGGGAAACTTTTCATCACCCATAAAAGATTTTATTGATCGAGGAGGTGCGAAGGTTCTTGATATCGGTTGTGGTCCTGGAACATGGTTGTTAGACATGGCTACGAATCACCCGCGTTCTTTTTTTACCGGCATTGACTTGTCTCCCATATTTCCAAGCGACATAAAACCTCTTAATTTGACTTTTTATACAGCAAATATTTTGGAAGGATTACAGTTCCCTGGTAAGTTCATACTTTAGGTTTTATTCGCTCTCCTCCTTCCGATTCCTTCATTCACGTGATAAAATTTGTTTTTTTTTAACATGATAGATAATTCCTTTGACTTCGTGCACATGAGATTTCTCATGACTGCATTCACAGAAGAAGAGTGGTGCAACAAAGTGATTAAAGAATTGACTAGAGTGCTTAAGCCCAATGGCTGGTTGGAAATCATGGAAGGTGACCTGGTATTCAATCCCGAGGGACCTACTGGAAAAATTTTGATGGATGCCTGTAAGTTTGTCCTGAAATGGTGATGGAGTTCGCTGTTGGTCACAACTAATAAATGTCAATCTCGATAATTTCGTAGTTCGGTCCGTGCTCCTCTCAAAATCAATAAACCCCCAAATATGTCAAAAGTTACGGACATGGCTCTCTGAATCAACGCAACTGCTCAACCTCTCGTGTGAGGAAAGGTCAGGCCCCATCGGTAAATGGGCTGGAAGGGTCGGCGAATTGGCGTGTCAGGATTTCTGTGACACATTATATGCGCTACGGGGAGTCCTCGCAGGAACGCTGGAAAAAAACTCAGAAGAGTACGGTGAGATGGTGATGGAATTTGTTAAAGAGTGCAACGAGAACAAATCGAGTTTCAGGCACTTTAGGTTCTTCTGTCAAAAGTTGAATATTTGAAGGTCGACTTCGCAGTATATGGGCTTGCACCATAGAATATTTTTTTTCCTTCTACTATCTCATCTATCTTTTATTCTTGTTTAATATACAGTATACATGCTTATGTAAGAAAGTTCTCATACTTCTTGTACCAAAATACACGAGCGTTTCTTTTTTCTTCACGGATTTTATGTTTTTTTTTTTGTAAGAAATAAAAGATATACAGTATGTAATGTGGTAATGTGATGATGATACTTGCAAAAAGCATTTGCTATTTTCGTTATCTTTACACTACACATATTTAGATGACGGTAAAATCTCAACTAATCGATTTACTGTATTATGTACTGTAATAATGGCATTATTATTACCATTATTATTCCTCGATTTTAAAAACGAAAATACATGTACATATTTGATCCTTCTAACCAAATAAATTTAATTCGCATAGCTTGCCAGGTTCTATACCATACGTCCGGCAAATATTAGTTTATTTATTATTACAGTGACCTACCAAACTATTGTGAATATCAAAAATGTTAAACTTTTAGTACGAGGTAATTTTTCAAGTACAATAAAACTAGCAAATAAATAAATATAATTAATGACTCAACAATTAAGTATGTGACAATCACTAGTCATTCAACAGCTGAATCATTGTCAAATTTGATTAAATTTGATAATAAAAACATTGATAAATTCAAAAAATATTAACAAATACTGTGAAAAAATTTTAATAAAAATTTGTAAAAAATTTTAATAAAAATTTGTAAAAAATTTAATAAAAAAAATTTATATACAGTAATAAAAATTTGATAAAAATTACAAATCTAGTATTAAAATTTAATAGATATTTGAAAAGATTAATAAATTTCATGAAATTCATTAAAAAATTTACAAAATTAATTAATCAAACTATTTATTACTTTTTTCTTTCTCTTTCCTTTTTTTATTTTTATTTTCTTTTAACTTATTTTTTATTTTCTTTTAAAGATTTTGACTTGATTCTTTTGAAATTCATTCAAATTGATTTTATTTTATTGAATTTTTTTGAGTTTTTGCATTTTTTTTTTAACTTTTTAATCACTTCTTAAATTTTATCTAATTGTACACTTTTCTTCAATTTGTTTCTTATTCTTTAAATATAATAATAATTATTATATTTTATAATTTTTTATCTTCTTTTTTTACTTTCTATATTTTGAAATCTCTTTTAAACTATATGTCTAATTTGATAAACCTTTTAATAATATCATATTATAATAATATAAATTATAATAGTATTATTTACAAGTTAACTAAAAAACTTAAATTGATTTTGGATATTCATCTAAATATTTCAATAAATTTTTTAACTATAAATAATTATAATTAATATTATAATTATTCAACATAAAATATTTTACTTTTCAGAATATTAATTATAATTGTATATGACCTATGGGTCTATAATGCAGTGGTTAGCACTCCGTAGGTCAGATCACAAGATGCAGATTCAAATCCTCCAGGGGCTAATATGATTCCCCTAATTATAAAAGCAGGTAGAATCTGACAAATCATCTATTGGCCTAACCGTATATAACCAATGTTTCTGAGTATAGCTGGTGCAGATCAAGAGGATTGGCAGTTTTCATTGGTTCTCGCCAAAAATCAAGATCTCAGTAATACAGGACAGTCTATACAAAGATTGTGATCAGGTCACTATCCAAAATCGAGTAGGATTATCCTTGATAGGATCCCATTACCACCTGCTGGTAACAAGAAAAATAGATTCCTAAACCGGTTGCATACTGCTGAGAAAGGTCTGACTGAAGATCTTATCCGATTTCAAGACTTCAAGCATGTGTCTATGTCTTGATCCATAGACTTAACAATCAGAAGACCTTGGTGAAAGGAGAAATCCGTGGATTACTCCAAAGGATCAAAATCTGGATTCAGGATAAAGAAAATTCGATGGCCTGATAACCAGACTACTCTTAATAAAAATGGTCTGGAAAAAATTAAGAAGAAATCGCATGGTCTTCCGATGAGGTAGTGCTTATACATAGTTAGTAAATATATAAAAGCTACTCATATATATAGATTACTAATATAAGCAAATGTATGAGTACTCGTTAGTATATACATTATCTATCTGTATACAAAGAGTAATGTAAATGGCTGAGCCAAAGTAGTTGCCTTATATAAATATACAGGTATATTACTAATAAAGATTGTGGCAACGAGTTTATGAATCACTGGATCATAAACCTCATAGACAACCTTTTCATATTTGAAATTTCTTTCAGCACTAGCCCAATCTTAGCAGGTCAACTCCCCATTTTGGGGGTGACAACAAGTTACAAGGTGAGTACCTCTGTATAGAGGAATTCTATTGAGCTTCATTTGGTAGTAAACAAGTAGTACATCCTAGAATAGCTTCTATGTATTAATACTACATAATTACAAATAAAGCAAGGCTGAGCCAGCATTAAAAAAAAAAAAAAAAAAATTACAATTGTATATATATATTTTTGTGGAATGGAAAGCTCAGCCTTATTTATTAACTTGATAAAATAATTTACAAATTTAATTACAGGGAATACATATTTTTATCATTCATGTTAACAAATATTTCTAGAATTCTACTTTTAAAAAATCTACCAGACGGCTTATTACTCGAAAATATCCAGTCAGATTAAATTTCTACTACTACCTATCTAGGAAACCTAGATACTCCTATTTTTGGATCTTGAATCCTTCTAGATTCTTCCCAACTAACTTGCCAGGCTTGACTTGCTAGTTCCTATGAAAGGAGAAGTACACCTTTTAAATAGTTCTTGATAGACATGGCGCAATTATCAGTTTGATACCTTTCCTGAATTTGTTTATATTCAGCTATGTTGATTGTGTCTTTTATAGGGAATAAAACCTGCTTAGAACTAGAAGTGGAAAAACCCTGTTTGTATGAAATCAGAATAGAGATGATTGGTGTTTTCTGAGACCTGATTGTGTTTTGCGTCATAGATAGTTTTTCATTCCATAAATCTTTCACATGGTCCTCATGTGATATTGAACTATAAACCTTGTGATTGTGATCTGGGAACACTACCACTGTGCTATAAACCCACAGATCTAAATTATATATATATATATTAGTAGAGTTTTCTAAACTGCAGTGGTAATCTGCGTGCAATGATATTAAAGGTTGGAAGGGTATTCACCTGAACCATTAGTGGAGCAATAAATCACTCCCGAAGTTGCACTTAGAGTTTTGATATATCAAGACAAAACAGCGACGAGTGAGTTAGATAAAGTTTTAGCTTTAGCAAATCATTTAAAATATATAGTATACAAACGTTTAATAAAACATACGTACCTAGCCTAACCTAGGGTTTAAAAAAAAAAAAATTAGTAGAGTTTTCTAAATCAATTTTATTTTTTTTAAATGAATAAACCTTTGTTTTATTAATAATATTTATTGATTTATTCTGATATTTAACAACTTTATTAGATCTTTATTTAATAAATAATCATATATTTTCAATTTTTTATATTTTTTTCTTAATTATTTATTAAAAATTTATATTTGAAGATAATATAAATACAAAATATTATTAGTTTTACTTTATTTAATAAACTATTTACATATAAACAACTATTGTTGGCTTTCAATTTTTTATATTCGGCCTTCTAATATATATTTTTTAATAGTAATATAAAGCATCTAACTATTTATTTGTTTGCTTTTATAAAGAACTAAAATATGGACCATGGATTTTATTGATTCAAGTATCAACTTTTGTAATATTTTTTTATTTATATTACTTGAAAAAACTTTATTTATTCTTAATTTATGTTCAATAAAAATAAATTTTTTAAGATCTTTATTTCTGCTTTCATTTTTTTTTAAATTTTAGTTCATTTTTAATAATTATTTTATTAGCTTTGCTTTTTTATTACTTTTTTTGAATTAAATTTTTTAATGCTTTTTTAAACTTGAAAAACTTTCAAATTCTAATACCTGACTATTCTAAGTTTCATAACTATTATAAAATTCAGTTTAAGTTTTATAGATTTTACAGATTTAAGCTAATTAATTTACTTTTTAAATTTTCTATTTTTTTTTATTATTATTTTACTTCTTTAAATAATAATTTAACTTATAGTATTAATATTTATACAACTTTAGATATCATTATTTTAGGCAATACAAGAGATAATTTTTTTAAGCAATTTGATTATCATAATTGAAATTAATGATTCAATATTAGATATTATTAAATATACTATTATTGTTTCTGATATCATTTATACAAAAGAAATTTTAATAGCAAAAATAATTGTAAAAATTATAAAGATTATAAAGATAATTATTTTTTATAAAAAATGTAACTAATTAATTTTTTATTTAAATATTTTAGAGATATTTATGAAAAAATATTACATTAATAAAAAGTTATTCAAATAAAATTATTAGTATTATTTTAATATAATTCAATACTATTCAATATAATAATCAATAAATGATTACTTTGTAGCTTTATATTACTATTTATCAATTTTCAAATATATTAAAAAAATGTTTATCTAAGTTTTACTTAATAAAAGTTTACAAAAAAAAATTTAAAAAAATAAAAAAATTTTTGACTATAGTAAATGCAATGAATTATTTACTAATTTATTAACAGAATTTTTATATTAATATTAAAAACCAAAAAGCAAAAATTCAACAAATGAATAATTCATATTTTGATATAGAACAAGAAATATTTTATCAAATTAAATTATATTATTAAGTAACAAACAACAAAATCCAAGATTGAATAAAGCAAATTTTAAAAATAATAAATCTGAAATTTATAATAATGAAAAAATAGATAATATATTTGATTTCAAAATACAAATTTTCTTTTAAATTTTAGTAAATTTTTAGATAACTATTTTATATAAATATTATTATAAATTATAAACTATAAAATTAGATTTTAAAAAAAAAAACTCTTTTCGCTGATCCCCAGTTTTCTAAAAAATTTTCTTTT